TCTTCTGGCCTTTTCTTTTTTCTCTTAAGAGGATTATCTTTTCTAGTTCTTTTTTCACTTCCACTTATGTATGTATGTATGTATTTCCTCACCCGAGGACATTTCTCCATTTTTTGTTCAGATAGAGTGGGAAGAAGAGACAGGAAGAGAGAGAGAGAGAGAGAGAGAGAGAGAGAGAGAGAGAGAGAGAAACATTGATGTGAAAGGGACACATCGAGTGGCTGCCTCCCGCAGGGCCCGGGACAAACTGCAACCTGGAAATGTACCCTTAGCGGGAACCGAACCCGGGTCTCTCTGGACCACAGGCCGACGCTCTAACCGCTGAGCCAAACCGGCCAGGACTCAATTCCTATTTTACCTGCTTGGTGCATGCTCCCTTCCAGCCTCATACCTGGCCTGAGGAAAGAGGCTTTGGGGATCACTCAGCACTCTGTTCTGCTCTCTGCCACTAAGGGCTCCACTGCTTAGCAGAGGTTCCATGCAGGAGAAAAGTGGGGTGGCCCTGAGACAGGCTAGTAAGCCCGGACAGGTGGACTATGGAAACAGATAGTTAGATGGCCAAGCAGTTTACAACCATCTAGCAAATCCTATCTTTTATAACCAAGGACACTTAAGAATAAATGGTTTGCACTTCTCCCCGGCCAGAGGGTAAATAGCTTAAATCACCCTACTCAGGAAAATAGCAGAAATCCAATTAGTGCCATTTGCCAAGGATGGATGAATTTAAGGGAATAAATCTCATGTTGGCACATCAGCATAAAGTTGATAAATATTTTAATGAGATCCCCCCTAAGACCTCCCATAACTCCCAGCCTTTAAAAACCCTCAAAAGGAAGGTCTCAGCGTGTGCTCTCCCTCCCAGGAGCATGCCCTGGCCTTTCCCTCCCCCCCCCTCCCCCGACAGGCATGCATCTCTAAACTCTAAGGGACCCCAGGAGGCTTGCAACCAGGGAGCAATGGGCAGCAGCAGCTCTTCCCAGATTAACCCCCCGACCTGTGTCCCCAAGGCCCCCTTTTCTCTGACTTCTTCGTGAGCCAAAGCAGCCCAGCCTTGGCTCATTTGCCCACCTTGTCCCTCTCCTGTTGCTTCTTCTATCCTAGGCCCTTCCTTGTTTCTCTGTCCCCAGGTTTTTTTTTCTAATTATTTTTCTTTATTGATTTAGAGACAGGAAGTGAGAGGGAGAGAGATAGAAACATCGATGAGAGAGAACATCGATTGGCTACCTCTTGCATGCCACCCACTGGGGTTTGGGCCCACAACCTGGGCATGTGCCCTGACCAGGAATCAAATCGGCAAGCTTTTGGTGCATGGTTCGATGCTCAACCACTGAGCCACACCGGCTGGGCAACTGTCCCCAGCTTTAATAAACATCCTCTAAAATTCCCCTGGACCCACCCTAGCCAGTGTTTCCCAATGGTTAGAGTATCGGCCCACGGACTGAAGGGTCACGGGTTCGATTCCTGGTGAAAGGCACATACCTGGGTTGCTGGTTAGATCCCCGATTTTGGTCGGGGTTGTGCAGGAGGCAACAAATCAGTGTGTCTCTCTCACACTGATGCTTCTCTCTCTCTCTCTCTCTCAAAGAATAAATAAAGCTGAGGTAATTTAGTAAATTAATTTGTAACAGTGGCTGATCTCTTTCCCTTGGTGACTGGGGATTCACATAACCCTGAAGGTGTGTATATGAAGACAAGTCATCAAATGGGCAGGAATAGGCAGCTCGATTTGACAAAAATGTCCCAAATTAACCCTGGACCTTTTCTTTATAATGATATGTGGTCATTTCTCTGTTACTTTTGCCTTGACAGTGCATGAGAAGTGGGGCTCATTTGGTCTGAAAGAGACCCCGCAAAGGAGCTGGGACTTAAATGCAGACCCTACAGCGCCATAGCCCGTGCTCTAACCACTGTGCACACTGCTAAGTAAGGCATCTGACCTGGGGGCAGCTGGCCCTCTTCCTCCAGGTGCTGTCCAGCTACCTGATCGACAACATGGTAGGAGCACCCGTTGTCTACCCAATGTCGGAACCACAGGACCTGTCCAGGTGATGAGTTCCCCAAAGTCCCTTCTCTCCTGGCCACCCTCCCTCTGCCTCCCCCTCCCCCAGGGCCTGGCCTTCCCTCTTCCAGCCCCTGCAGGATCGCGCCAGGAAGGCCTTCCGCCCTGGCTCCGTACAGCACGGTCGCACTGACTCCACAGCGCTCTGTGGGACTAGGATTGACCTCTCTGTTCCCGCAGAGCAGAGCACCTGGAAGCTGGAAAAGCAGTCCGATCACAGCATAGCTTTATGTATTCAATTAGCCACTTATTAAGCACCGACTGTGTGCCAGGCACTGGGGATACATCAATGATAAGACAGATAAGATTCCTTCCCTCGTGAATAATAATGATAATGACAGCTAACATTTATTGAGCACTTACTATGTTTAGACCCTGTGCTAAGCCTTTATAAGAACTGGTCTTTTAATCCTCACAACAATCCCACTAGGTAGGTACTATTATTAATCTAATTTCCGAAGGACTGAGGCATGGAGAGGCTAAATAAGTTGTCTAAGGGCACACTGCCAACACGTGGTAGAACCGCGTCCGCCTGCAGAACTTGCTCCTTTAACTGCTAACTAAGACAAACCAAAGATTGCATCCTGGTGGGGACAAACTCTGAAGAAGTAAACAAATAAAAAAGATATTTTCATTAGTGGTAACTAACGCTACGAAGACAGTAACATAAAATCAGGGTGGTGGTAAAGGGTAACTGGGCACACCTGGACATCAATGCACGCTAAGTTGCCAAAGACCCTCCTCCCCCAGGGCACAGAGCTCACGGAGGGCTGGCATGTGTAGTTCTGTGTGTCCTCAGCACTCGGCCTGGCCCAAAGCAGGCACTGTTAGGGATGGGAAGAAGGGAGGAGGTGAGGGGAAGGGAGGGAGGGAGGGATCCTGGGCAGGTGCCTCCACACACACCTGCCAGTGTTTGGCCAGCTGTGCTGACTTAGAACAAACCCCAGAAGCCAGGTGGGCCGTGGGAAGGATCCTTCACCACTCACCAGCCGCCTAACCTTGAGCAAGTCACTCTCTGAGTCTCAGTTTTCCTTCTGGAAAGATTGGGGTTGGGGGTGGCAGGGTGGATGGCAGTACATCGCATGCGGGGCTCTGGACGAAGCCCTGTCTCACATTGGGTGCTGTTGCTATTCCTACTGTATAGGTGAGCAAACTCAGAAGTGAGCCCCAAGATTCACTAGTAACCAGGGTCCTGGTGGCAGAGGTGAATAAGTGAAGGACCACCCTTTAGGGGCAGCTCCAGAATTTGTGGGAGGTTCTTGGTCGTCACAAGGGACGCAGAATAGACAGTCGCACACAAAATTTGTCCCTTGTCCTGCACAACATTTGACTGTCCTGCTAGACATTCATGAAGCTAAAAAACTTACTTACAGTGACTGACCTGAGCCTAGAACCTACCCCATCCGATGTCATGATAGAGGGAATTATTTACTCTTGCACTGAGTGATCGAGTCCACCGCTTTGCAAGAACACCTATTTCTGAATTTTCTCCACCTTAATTTGTCTTGGTGTGTTATACGTTTCAATTAAGGTTATTTTCCTCTTTCTCTTGTCACTTGATCTGTTATTAGCCCAACTCTGTTTTTATTTAAGTGTGCTTCTGTGTTCACTTTCATTTCCTGGGTGTTAAAGAACTCACAAATCACCCAGATCTGGAAAACAAAAGCTGAACTGAATCCTGGCTCAGGCCAGGGGGAAATGCAAGCAGGCGTGCTGCGCTGTTAAACACGGGGCACGCCGGGTGTCGTGGGGCCGGGGACGACGGCGCGCGGGTAGCGCGGGTGGAACAGTGTCTCAGCAGGCTCACGGCCCAGTGGGCGTGTGAGCAGAGAATTAACGCCTGGCCTGGCTGAGAAGGGCCTGTCCTGCTGGAAACCGGAGTTGTTTTTTTAAAAGGTCTCCTCCCTTGCCCCAGACTAGGAGCTGGAGCTGGTGCAGAAACTGCAGCTGAAGCATGAGAGGCCGTGGCCTCTCTCTGGCGACTCGACCCGTACAGATCCCTCAGGCAAGAGTGGAAAATTCCACTTTCCCACATTTCGTAGCTGAACCCCCTCTTTAATTAATACTAAATCCCTACCAACATCTGCTTGTTTCAGCATGTCTTCTAGTTTGGTATATCCATATTTTGAAGTACATATTATTTTATTGTAAATTAATTTCCTTTTATGGCTCCTTTGTATCACAGTGACGGCATTGAACCAAACAGCGTGGAAACAGCGGGTGAGTGGGCACTGCCCGGTCCCGCTGCGAGGCCTCTCCCTCTGCGGTCCGTTCCATCCTCCACCGACTCTGCGAGGCAGCTCAATGACTATCATCCTCATTTCACAGAGGGGGAAACCAAGGCACAGAGAGGCAGAGTGACTTGTTTGGGATCACACAGGAAGCAGCGGATCCGGGGCTTGAGATCCGGCCCCAGAATCTGCACTCTTCACTACTCTGCCGGCCTCCCTCTCAGGGGGAGGAAAGTATCTAGGGATCCCCAGTTCAGGACGTTAAGGGGGCTTTCCAAGATGTTTCTTGGAAAAAAGGAGTGTTCAGTGTGGTAAGGGTGAGAACCAGTGACCTAGCATGTCGTATGTTGGTATCCTCTCCTCATATCCCTCATTCCATATTCTGCCACCACAGTCCTGCCTCTGAGCCACAGCTGGGGTGGGAGTGAGGGTCAGCTGTGTGACTACGACCCCAGTCCCACAAGGAGCACATGGCGGAGGGCAACAGATGGACAGGAAGGAGTGGGCCGAGTGAGGGCCTCAGGTCCCCGCTGGCCCTGTTCCCAAGGATCCTTTATGGCCAGCCCTTGCCTGTTTCTTGCTCCTCCCTGGGGGCAGGGAATCTCCTCTGTGGAAAACACCCAGCTGGGCGAGCCCCAGGGAGGGGGAGGAGGCAAAGGGGGCTGGGACTCACGAGACTGACTCCTCTCCCCCCTCATGACTGGTGTTTACCGGCCCGGCCGGGTTCTGGGAAAGGGCCAGATTGCATCAGACAGGGCTCCTGGGGCTGGGGCCAGACTGCAGGCTGAGGAAGAGACGTGGCTTTATAAATTGGATCCAGTGAACTGGGAGGTGCCAGGAAATCAGACACAAACTCAGCTTTAGAAGGTGACAGAGGCAGTGAGAGTGAGAGTAAGCCAGACACGATGGCCACCTTCCCCGGAGCAGCCGGCTCCTCCCAGCAGCCCCCAGGGCCGCAGGACGAAGACGCCAGCCTGGATGAGTACGACCTCTACGGCCTGGCCCATTCCCAGCTGGGTAAGGCCTGGCCCTGCCACTCTTACCCCACCAGCCCCCTGGAACTGGGACCTCCTTCTTGGGTCTCTCCCCAGCCCTCACCCTTTTCCAACCTGTCCTCTGGAGCCCTCATCCACTGAACTGTCATACTCAGCCCTGGGGCCTCACACACGCCTAAAATATTGGAAAAACATCAGATCACCTGGGAGCCCTCATTCCTCAGGTGGGGAAACAGGGACTGTGCCCCAAAGCTATGTGGTGACAACCATAGCCTCCTACTCCAACCCAAGCTCTTTCCACCGCTCTCCCAACCCTGCCTCTCCTTTGAGGCCATCATGCCTCCAGCCACCTCACTTCGGGTTCTTGCCTCGGTTCCCAAAGTGGGAGGCCGGAAAGGTCGCACCAAGAGAGAAGCTGCTGCCAACACCAACCGCCCCAGCCCTGGGGGGCACGAGAGGAAGCTGGTGACCAAGCTCCAGAACACAGAGCGGAAAAAGCGAGAGTCACGGCCCTGAGACAGAGCTGGAGGTAAGGATTCAGGGGCCCAGAGCCAGGGGAGGTCCCTCTGCCTCCACAGGACAGGACTGAATGTGGGCATTTGGGTGGGGAAGAGGAACGAAAGAACTGTTGTCTCAACATAGACTAAAACGAGGCATACATTTGACTGAGTTTCCCAGGGACCAGCGCAAAGGGGGAAATGCAGACCCTTTCCCGCTGGAGAGAAATCTGGTTTACAGAGAGGGAAACTGAGGCCCAGAGAGGGGAGGGTCTTTCTCTGGATGTACAGAACAAGTGAATAGAAATGGCAGAATTGCCCAGGCCTCTGTCCCTTCCACCAACTGCTTTCCTTTCCCAGATGAGGCCGGAGCATGCACCTCACACAGCAACGTTGGCAGGACCTCGGAAGAACCAGCACCTGGAGGCAGGATCCAAGCCTTCGTGCCCCCACCCCATCCCCAGGACTTACCCCACCTGACTGAGGCTCAGAGGGGCCCCCAAGGAAGCACCCTCAGCACAGAAAAAGGGCAAGATAGGGAGCAAGAGGCAGAGAATGGAGAGTCAAAGTCACAAGGGTACCCCCAAAAGAAAGATGCTGAAGAAACCGGAGCTCCCTGGGTGGCAGCGACAATAAAGTACAGCAGCTACTGTGTGTGCTTTTGTCCTTTGTGTGGTTCTGTTCCGTGTGTGTCTGCATGTTCGTGAACCAATGAGCGTCTTTGGTTAGTGTCTGTATTTGGTTATGGATCTTGGAGGAGGTATTTCTGACTTGGTAGGAGCCTGCAGAGGTGTGTGTGTGTTTGGGTTTTGTTGGCTATGCATGTGTTTGGGTGGATTTGGTTCCACGGTCTCTTCTGGGTGCAAGGGCATTCCTCTGCTTCTTCTTAATACTGCCCGTGACTCAAGCCCCTCCCCAGCTCCTCCCCATCTTCGGAATAACAATCTTGTTGATTATGTTGTATTCATAGAGAACCACCTTTTGGAGTGAATGTTATTTATTGGTGCCAAAATGGAGCAAACCGTGAGACTTAAAACATTAAGGGACTGGCCCCAAGTTCCTCAGGGCTCAAATTCGAGGATTCTTATGGTCCTCAAGTGAGGTGGGTCCCTTTGCTCTGGGGGACGCCAGCTCAGGGTTCTGGGAGGTGAGCTGGGGGAGGAAGATGCTTACCTGGAGTTCTCAGTCCGGGAACCAGGTTTGAGAATGTAGAGCAAATAAGAGGATGGAACTAAGTGGATACGTGAATTGAGATTCAAGTTTGGGCCTCTGTGATGAAGACTCTCAAACAAAAGGGAATCGAAAGTGTTCTCTCTGTCATATAACAGCTCTACAGGCAAGCACCCCTGGACCAAAAGGGCAACTCCACCATGTCAGGGATTCCCACTACTTTTAGCTCAGGGTTCTGCCACCCTCAAAACATGAGGCCCAAGCTACCGGCCCATGGAAAGAGAGCAGGAAAGAGCCAGGGGAGGCCACACCAACTCCCTTTTAAGGCCATAACCTAAAAGTAGAATGTATCACATCTGCTCAGAATTTAGTTACGTAGCCACACCCAACTGCAAGAGGTTTGGAAAACTCTGGTATTTAGATGCTTAGCCGCATGTTAGCCAAACTCGGGAAGAGCAGGGTTTTATTATTAAAGGAAACAGGAGAGAGTGAATACTGGGTAAAACTAGCAAGAAATGTTTTCCACAGACAGACTCAACATTAGTGTGGGGAGAAAACCCCTAGGTCTGTCCTGGGCAGAGGTCCTCTTCTCCTGTCCCCTCCACGGAAGCCCTGGCCTGCAGAACTTGGGAACCTATGTTCTTAGGGACCCAGGAATATGGACAGAGAATGAGATGCCTATTGGAGCAGTAACCGATGCACAGGACTAAGACCAGCTTGAACCTTAGGAAACTCTATCCAGTGGTCTCCCCTGAATCCTGCCTAGGAATAGTCACAGGATCTCTGACGGAGGACATTAAAAGGCACCCAGCCCAACCCCAGCTGCTCCTACTGGAGTCACTGGGCTTGGGATGGGGAACCTGCTGCCCTGGAGTTTCCCAATTCCTTCCCAGAGCGACTGAAACACGACTCTCCTGCCTGCCCCTGAACACCCTTCTGCTTCCCTGGTCCTTTCTGTCTGAGATGCCTTTAATCCCGCCCGCCCGTCCACAAGGCTCAGCTCAAATGCCTCCTTCCCTTCAAAGTCTTCCTGACTGGCCCTGTACCACCTGTGTCCTCACCTCCACCACAGCTGTCACCCTCTGAGTCACATGCATGCGAGCCTGTGCCTAGAATCTCACTGTCACTTGCCATATGGCTCCTTGAGATTTCCCTTCCAACCCTGCTTTCCACAAGTTACTCATTCATTCGATTAATGTGTATCAGATGCCTACTGTACTACCAGGACCTGGTTGAAGCCATGCACTACACGGAGGGACAAATGGGAGCCCAGTATGATTGGAACCAGATCTTAGGGCCACTTGTCAACTTGAACTCAGGAGGCAAATGGCAGGAGCAACATGGGGCAGTGACCTCTCAGGCCAGCACAGATCTGATAGGTCAGCTTCAAAAATCACAGCAACAGCCCTGGCAGGTGTGGCTCAGCTGGGCGTCGTCCTGTGCCCTGAGAAGTTGCTGGTTCAATTCGTGGTTGGGGCGCATGCCTGGATTGCTGGCTTGCTCCCCAGTGTGGGGCATGATCTGCTCTCCCATCAATGTTTCTCTCTCTCCCTCTCCCTTTCTCTCTCTAAAAATCAATAAAAATATTCTTGTTTAAATCATAGCAATAGCTTCCATGTACTGGGTGATTACTCTGTGATAGGCGTTTCATAAGCATTGTTTAATCCTTACAATAACCTTATACATGTACTATTATTGATCTCATTTTAAGGACTAGAAAACTGAGGTTCAGAGAAGTCAAGTAACTTGACCAATGTCACACAGCCAAAACCTGCAGAAGCTGGACTTTTCCCTTTATACTACATGCCTGAGAAGAACCATGAATAATGACAATGAGGAATCCTAGAAGCTAGTTAGTTTCTAGTCAATGACTCCTCTGAGCCTGTTTCCTCACCTGTTAAGTGGTGAGACTACCATCTCCTCTCTCTATGTCAAAGGAGAAAACAGGCACCCTGGCCAATTTGGCTCAGCAGTTAGAGTGTCGGCCCACAGACCGAAGGGTCGAGGGTCCAATTCTCAGTCTGGTACCTGAGCTGCAGTTTCAATCCCTGGCCCTGGTCAGAGTCATGTGGGAGGCAACCAATTGATGTGTCTCTCTCAGATCAATATTTCTCTTTGTCTCTTTTTCCCTCCCTCCCTACTACCCTCCCTCCCTTCCACTCTATCTAAGAATCATTGGGAAAAAATCCTTGGGTGAGGATTAACAAAAGAAGAAAGAAAAAAAAAGGGAAAACAAGCTGGGAAGTGCTGTGTCCCTTGCTGGCTGTGGCCACACCCTGGACACTGGGTGTTTTGACTTGCCAGAAAGCCCCACATGCCACCGCTGGCTCCTGGCCTCTAATTGGCCTTCCCTGGCCTCGCCCTTCCCTGGCACAGCCTATGCCTGGGAGGCCTTTAAGTGGGTGTTCCAGGAACCAGGCAGTTCTTGGAATGACAGAACATTTGGTCAGAAAGGATCCTGGGGTTCGATTCCCCACTCTTTCAAGGCGTGGGTCAGGAGCCAGGGATTGGCTTAAACTTATATGAAGCCCTGGCCGGTTTGGCTCAGCAGTTGGAGCGTCAGCCTGTGAACCAGAGAGACCCAGGTTCGGTTCCCGCTGAGGGCATGTGCCTCGGTTGCAGTTTGTCCCCGGCCCTGGTGAGGTCGTGTGGGTGGCAGCCACTCGATGTGTCTCTCTCACATCGATGTTTCTCTCTCTCTCTTCATCCCTCTCTCCCTCCCGCTCTATCTGAAGATACATGTAAAAATGTCCTCGGGTGAGGATAAAAATTTAATTAGTTAATTAATTTTTTAAAAACTTACATGAAGACTAGGGTCTCAGTAGGACAAGAGCCTGCTCCTGACTCCACCCCTCCTGAACTGCCCTGTTCTGTTCCACCCCCTTTTCCCACATCCCTTCTTTTTTATCTCCCAGTTGCATGTAATACCTGTATCCCAATTTCTTGGGTTCCTCCTGAGAACTGGAGAGATGACTGGCCTCCCTTCCCCCTCAGGGGCTTACGGAAATTTCCCCATCAGGTTGCCACGATCCCAAAGATTCTTAGCTCCTTGCAGAGAATCAAGAAACTTACTGTGGGGCTCTCATCTGCTTCACAGACACCCTGGTCCTCTCCTGACCACAGCTCTCTCAAAGCCAGCTCCCAGACGGCCAGTTTCAAAATTTCAGAGCCCTGACCCATGTGGCTCAGTTGGTTGCATGTCGTCCGGTGCACCAAAAGGTTGCTGGTTTGATTCCCAGTCAGGGCACATGCCCAGGTTATAGCCTCGATCCCTGGTAGGGGGTGTGCAGGAGGCGGCTGATCAATGTTCTGTCCTCACATCACTGTTTCTTTTCTTCCCTCTCCCTTCCTCTCTCTCTCAAAAAAAAAAAAAAAAAAAATCAATAAAAATATTTAAAAATTAAAATAAAATTTCAGAATTACCCAAGGCTGATTTTGAGCTAGCAGTCCTTGAGGAGGACACTGTTCACGGCACTAGCACGGCCCCGCCGCTGACGGTCCCCGCAGGCTTTCCCGGCCTCCTTGTTCCCGTGGCACGCTGAGATTCCTGCCCCAGGTGCACAGGAGGATGCCACTCTCCTTGTTCCCGTGGCACGCTGAGATTCCTGCCCCAGGTGCACAGGAGGATGCCACTCTCCTTGTTCCCGTGGCACGCTGAGATTCCTGCCCCAGGTGCACAGGAGGATGCCACTCTCCTTGTTCCCGTGGCACGCTGTGATTCCTGCCCCAGGTGCACAGGAGGATGCCACTCTCCTTGTTCCCGTGGCACGCTGAGATTCCTGCCCCAGGTGCACAGGAGGATGCCACTCTCCTTGTTCCCGTGGCACGCTGAGATTCCTGCCCCAGGTGCACAGGAGGATGCCACTCTGCTTGTTCCCGTGGCACGCTGAGATTCCTGCCCCAGGTGCACAGGAGGATGCCACTCTCCTTGTTCCCGTGGCACGCTGAGATTCCTGCCCCAGGTGCACAGGAGGATGCCACTCTCCTTGTTCCCGTGGCACGCTGAGATTCCTGTCCCAGGTGCACAGGAGGATGCCACTCTGCTTGTTCCCGTGGCACGCTGTGATTCCTGCCCCAGGTGCACAGGAGGATGCCACTCTGCTTGTTCCCGTGGCACGCTGAGATTCCTGCCCCAGGTGCACAGGAGGATGCCACTCTGCTTGTTCCCGTGGCACGCTGAGATTCCTGCCCCAGGTGCACAGGAGGATGCCACTCTGCTTGTTCCCGTGGCACGCTGTGATTCCTGCCCCAGGTGCACAGGAGGATGCCACTCTGCTTGTTCCCGTGGCACGCTGAGATTCCTGCCCCAGGTGCACAGGAGGATGCCACTCTGCTTGTTCCCGTGGCACGCTGTGATTCCTGCCCCAGGTGCACAGGAGGATGCCACTCTCCTTGTTCCCGTGGCACGCTGAGATTCCTGCCCCAGGTGCACAGGAGGATGCCACTCTCCTTGTTCCCGTGGCACGCTGAGATTCCTGCCCCAG